GGCTAACTGCTGGCGTACAGACCCTAGTAGTCCACCTCCATAGCTTGGGCAAGGCCCATTCCTACTTGGTGCTTTATTTCTTGTTCCTTTCTGTAAACTGGGGAGATAGTGGTGTTGACTACAGAGTGTTGTGGCTATTAAATGAGGCAGTTTTCATAAAGCATCTCAAACAATGTCTGATAGATATCAGTGTTCATTACTCCTTGCCAAAGGTTGGCCATTCAGCGGGGTGCGGGAGCCAGTATCCCCTCGTCTGACTTAGAGGTCGTACACGTTATCACTCACACCTTGTAGCTCCAGGTCTGTGACTCACCTGAGGTTTTGGTTTTGATCAGCAAGGGGGGTGGTGGTGAGAATCTAACCAGGCCCTTGGACTCCGCACCTGGGCCCTTCACAGATGTTCACACGAAACAAATTCACCGCTCTCGGCTGGGTCTCTGGGCTAAATGTCCAGAGCCAAATGGCCTGCCCTCCTAATCACTTAAATAAGTCACAACTTGAGGCTTTACCCTAAAGGACTTAGTGTAATGATTACCCCAAAGACAGATGATCTGTCTGAAAAGGAAGTCAACAAACAAGGGAACAGCTGTCTGAAGAATAATTTCATTTTAGAATCAGGTGCTACTTTTTGAGTAAAAAGTCACCTTTATTTATGGAGTGGAAACTTTCCCCTGGAGGGACGGGGGGGGGGATAGATTAATATGAATAATTTGGAAGAGCTAGCTAGCTACATGAGCTTTGAGCCCAAATGTTAGAGAAAGGACACAACGCATTTGAAACATCCACGGTAGATGGAAAATGTGCTGACTCAGCAGGTTCCATCTGGGCGTGGAGTCATTCCCCCTGCAGCTGAGCTGCTTTCTGAAGCTCTTGGCTTCCTCATTTCCTTCGTGGGGGAAATGAGTGGGTTGACTTTGATGACCTTTGGGTCCTTTCATCTTACTGAGTTTCTTTCCACAGTGGGGGACTTGTTACCCTCCAGCCTGGGGATTGCTCGGTATGAGGGGGTGCCAGAAATCAGGGGAATTTCCAAAACACAGGGCACACCATACATATTAAACACACATTGATGAGATGGTGTTCCTACAGCTGGGAAACACCAGTGCAATTGCTTTCGTCCTTTTTGTCCCAGCAACTGCTGTTGTTGTTTATCTTAGAGAAATAATCATATATGGATACAAAATTACATATAAATCTTCATGCTATTGTAAAACTGGAAGAATGAAAGTATCTAACAATAGGCAAGTGGTTAAATGAAAGATGGTATGTTGGTATGTTGGTTTAGTTGTTTTGTTTTGTTTTTGTTTTTCTTTTTATTTTTTTTTTTTTGGAGACAGGATTTCTCTGGAATCCACTCTGTTCTGGAACCCACTCTGTAGACCAGGCTGGCCTCGAACTCACAGAGATCTGCCTGTCTCTGCCTCCTGAGTACCACCACCCAGCAATAAATGATGTTTTCACGTCTGCATATATTGCAATTTTATCTAGTCGTGAGAATTATGTTGGGCAAATCCTGATATAGGAAATGTTAACAGCGTAAATGTTCAGCTGAGGAGATTGGGGTTGCAGCCCAGTTGATAGCATGCTTACCCAGCATGCGTGAAGCCTTGGGTTTGATCCCAGCACTACATAAACCAGGAGTGGACATGCTTGACCATAATCCCAGGACTGGGATGGTGGAGGCAGGGCATCAGAAGTTCAAAGTCATCCCTAGCTACAAAGTGAGTTGGAAGCTAACTTGTATTCTGTAAGCTCAGGTCTTCAAGAAAAGTTAAACAAACAAAAAATATGTTAAATATGATATTAATCTTGAAAAAAAAGTGAAGTGCGGGAGAAAATAGTAGGGATATGTATATGAATATCACACAGCTCTTGGCTGCGGGAGGCAGTTGTTTTTCACCTTATAATTTAGATTGTTCATGGTTTTGAAATATCCCATAATATATGTGTACTAATTTTACAAACAGGAAAAAAAAGGGCTCGCAGGGAGCCCTTGGCACATGGTGGCTCCCTTAGTCATAGGTGGTGTGGTGGAGCTGAGAGGGGTCACAGACCTAGGGGAGACTGATTTGGACAAATCAGAGATGATCCAGAGAAAATAGGAAGTGGCCAGAAATGAGGTCATCTGAAGGGACCAGCAAATCAAATGCAGGACTGCTGCCCACCATCATGGTCTGAACATGCGGTGGACAGTGTGGGTGGCTCACGGGCAGCCCGTGGCACATGGCGGCTCCCTTAGTCATAGGTGGTATGGTGGAGGTGGGAGGGGTCATGGACCTAGTGGAGACTGATTTGAACGAATCAGAGAAGGAGCTAGGCACTTAGGGACTAGGGGAGAAACCACCTGCAGCTGCACCTTTGCAGTCAGAGAAGCGCCCCCAGGGCGGGAGCTCCCTAACTCTCAGACCGCCTTTGATTTCTGACCTGGTTTCGAGTGGTTTATGCGCGTTTCACTCCTGAATTTCTTTCTTTTCTTTTTTTAACGTTTCTGCCCTTTGCAAACAGTCGATTCTGCAGAATTCGGGAGGAGGGGTTCAAGGGAAGGTACTGAATGTGATGTAGCAGCTAGCTGGTTAAAGTTTGGTAATCCCTTCTTTCAGCCATAAACGTGTTCGTTCCCAGGGCCAGCCTGGAGAGAGCAGCTGGCAGTGGGCAGCGGTGGCGGCGTTTCAGTGAGGCACTAACACAGGTTGAACTTGAATCACCAGTTTTGTCTGCAGGATCCTTAATGAGGGCTGTGGCTTCCACCTGGAGGCATGGGCCGAGCCGGTGCCTGTCTGTGTCTGCCTCAGTCACTGGTCACTTGATGCCCCAACAATATCATTCCAAATACCTCTAAAAAGTCATTATAGTAGGCAGACATGTTACATAGGCCTGTAATCATAGTACGTGGGAGGCTGAGACAGGAGGATGGCTGGTCTAAGGCAAGCACACTTTATTAGCACTAGTGATACCCATCAAAGACCCCACTGTTTAAAAATTTTTAAATTTGTTTGTTGGGAGTGGGGGTGAGGGCGTCTGTGCATGTGTTGTGTGTGTGTGTAGAGGTCAGAGGACATCTTATGGGAGTCAGTTCTCTCCTCTCAGGGAGTGGATCCCAGGAGTCACACTAGGGTCCTCAGACTTGGTGACAGGTGTCTTTACCCACTGACCTGCCTTACTAGTCTTGTTTAAAACAAATCCTTCAACTTGAAAAATTTGGAACACAAAAGGAAAAAGTAAACTTGTATTCTCCCACATACCAGCCTCGCGGCTTCTTCAGTAGCTTCCTGATCTTCCGCCCATTACCCTCTCCTCACTTATCGTCACTGGTTCCTGGAGAGAGAGAAACATTTGTATTTATTTTACTTATAGATGGGTCGCACTTTCTATCAGATGAGAACATAGACCTGTACAAGCGAAGCATGTGTTCACGTGTGCACGGAGGATCCCCTGACTAAATTGCTTGAGACAGAAATACTTTTAAATTTCATATATTTTAGACTGGCATATTTGCATCTACATAATGATATATGTTGGTAATAGAACCCAAGTCTAAATCATGAATATTTTATATACAATTAATACACACCGCAGAAGGTACTTTTGTAATTTTGTGTAATTTTGTGCACAAAGCAAATTTCCTTGGTGTGTAATCTTAAATTTAAGGTTATGTTAGTACTCAAAAAGTTTCAAATTCTGGGCCGTCGAGATGGCTCAGTTGGGGTAAGGCGCTTGCAGCCAAGCTTGATGAGTTCATTCTCTGTGACCTGCAAGGTGGAAGCAGAGATTCAGCTTGAATGAGTTTTCCTCTGACCTCCATAAACGTGAGATAATGTTTCAGAATTTGCAGTATTTCAGAGTTTTTATTTTCACCTCAGTCATGCTCAACTTGTGTAGTGAAAAAAAAAATCAATTGTCACTGTACAAAATCAGCGATAGTTCCTTAATGGCATTTAATAAACAAGCGGTATTCCAGTTTCTTTGAATATCTAAAACATACACACACAAAACAAACCGCCCCCCCCCCCCGAAAGAAAAAAACCCCAAACCCCTAACTCTTGTGTAAGCAAGAAGGAGGAGGAGGCTCAGTGGAAGATAACCGATTAACCGTGGTGTCTGTAACTGGAGGCGGCTGCCCGGCTTCCTAAGCCTTCTTCCAAAAGCAGAGTAAAACTGACATAGAATGGAACCAGAAATCAGAGTGAGCACTTCCAGAAAACTTAAGCAAGTCTAGCTGCCCAGAGCTAGATTGGTTTTTAAATCAAAGACACTAATGCACCTCTTATAAACTCATTTGGGGGGGGAATTAAATGCAGAGACTCACACATGCTAGGGGAGCCACCTGCTAGCACCCTACACCCTCAGCCCAGAAAGTTTGCTTGTTTCCAGGGTTCAGCTCAGCCTTGATCTTCCTTTCAGAGCCCACACTGAAGAAACAAACAGCACAAACCAAACACTTCTTCAGAGTTGTAGAGACTGCAGGTAGGGGGAGGTGGGGTGGGAGCCTAGCTCTGTGGGTGTTTGCCCCATAAGTGCAAGGCCCTCGGGTTCAATCCCAGCAACACACACACACACACACACACACACACACACACACACACCGCACGCCTGTTTTAGTAAACATATTGCTAAATTCACATAAGCAAAATGAAGGAAACGAGATCCACCTGCAATCACAGGCCCCAGGAACAGCCCACCTTGACGTGTTTGAGCAACACATTGAAAGGACCATACTGCAGTGTAGTGAAGGGAGCCTGCCTTCGGCTGTAGAACTCCACACAGAGGGTTCCCCCATTAGGGACCAATCTTACAAAATAATTTCAAGGGAGAAACCAGAGCAAATGGGACCAGCGTTCCAGGGCTTTCTGCTTTCACGCAAATTCCCACAGAAATCAGGCACTGGTGATCACCCAGCAAGCGAAGGGAACTGTGAATGGTGTTTCTCGTTGAGTTTCTGAACTGCTGAATTGCTGCGGGTTTTTCTTTTGGAGGGGCTGGGGGTAAGCACGAGGTTTTACTCTGTAGGCATATGTTAGCCTGGAACTCATAGCAATCCTCCTGCCTCAGTCTCACAGTGCTAGGAAAGCAGGCACAAACTACTGTGCTTAGAGGGGCAATGTTTTTGACAAACCACCAAAGCCATCTACTTAAAACCATCCACATAGTTATAATCTGATGTTTGTTTCTCCTATGACGTGTTCTGGAGGGACTTTGTTTTCCAGGGCACACATGAGAGCAGTTCTCTATGAGAAAGCATTTCTAAGAGCAGCAAGGAATCAGCTGCCACAATTTTACCCAAACAGGGTCCTCACAAGCTTCCTGTGAAGATGCGATCTGGTTCTGGTTTTACGAATGGGTCTAGCTGTTTCGGCTGTGTGCTGCTTTTGGCATCGAGTAAATACAGGGGGGATTACAGAGACAGAGAAGGGCATCTGAGATAGTCCATAGGAATGGCGATGGGAGATAGGGCGCGGGAGTCAAGGAACACTTTTGAGAACGGGCGGCGCTTTGGGGTGAATGAGGAGCAGGATTTTAGCTGCTAGGGAATCGCTGAATTTGTCTATAGAAGGGGTCCTAGTGAGAAAGAGAGTCTGTCTGCTCAAGGTGAGAGTTGAGGCCTTATGTGTCTGACCTCAGAGGAAGAGGATTAGGATAGGTCAGGTCCCAAGACCTCTCCCTGCCTCCCTTTGTTCCTTTGTCAGAGTAGACAGAAGGACCAGCACCTTTCTTTTGTGGCATGGCGGCGCTCTTCCATGTGACTCTGTGTCTGAACTGTGGAGTCCTACAGAAGGTGCCCCCCCCCCCTTTTGTAGAAACAGTTGGAAGAGAACAAAGGAAAACCAGGCCACGGAGATGAGACTCCGACATACCGGGACCAGAGGCTCATTCATTCTAATCTGAAGTCCCAGAGATGTAGCGTTAAGGTCCCTCACGGGTATTCCTTAGAGCATCTCAGAGGACGCTTGATATCTCTTCCTGATAGATCCCTATTGTGGACGCCTGGCCATCTAGACACTTGTGACATGCTGCTGAAAACTCGCTTTTGTTTTCCACCTACAAGCAATATAAGAGAATGTCCTTTAGGAGAAACCACTGAAAGCCCTCCAGCGTCCATGCTGCCCATGTGGGCCATAGTGGCTGTCCTGAGGGTAGATGAGACACGCCTCAGAGACTGAAGATTATGTCTATATAGGGAGTTGCTGCGTCTTCTGCCTCTCCACCAGCTCCATATATGGCCATCTACTAAAGGCCTGGCCTGTCACTCCACCTTACAGATTCGTGCGGGGCTTTGGTTCTTGTCTACCGGATCAGCAATAAAGGTTTTCCTTTGGCTGCATTCTAGTGGGGTCACTAGGCAAGCTCACCATGCCTAACCGCTTACAACGTGGGGAGCCACGGCTCTGAGAGCTGAACCCATGTGTCGCTCAGTCACGATGGGCTGTGTGGGAAGATCACTTCACTCCGCACAGAGCCCTTTTCTCCTGTCTGGCATTTTCTGAGCCCTACAGGGCCACATCTCAGCATTTCTTCCTTTATGTACTATTTTAATTTTGTGCTATAGGAAGAAACTTCTGTCTTGTCTTTTGGTTTTATTTCTGGGAGTAAGATACACAGTCCACTCTTTGCCAGAGAAATCTTAGGTGATGCTTCAAATTCCTCATGTGAAGGAGTAATTGCTTGCCATTATATTTAGTGGTGATTTCCCAACAATGTTACTGATAATGAGTGCTTAGTTCAGTGCTTACATACGGTGTGTTCATATGATGTATCAGGCGGAGGATTTAAGCCCACAGGGTACTCTCAGCAACTATGGGAGGCAGATATTATTACATCAGATTTTATCAGGAGGAAACCGAGGCATTGTGGAGTTAAGAAACTCTTTAAATGTGACTGTACAGGTAGCTAATGGGGTATTCCAGGGGCCATTCTCAGTCCGCCCGTCCTTTTATCCCCTCTTATAGTGACACGGCAGGGATGCCTTTTCATAGCTATGCGCTCAGGAACTCTGACAATAAATCTGTTAGAAATATGTCACTGCAATAACTCACAAATCTGACACATGAGCCATTTGCTACTTCTGTCCTGCTACACTGGCATAAACAAATAAGGAAGTGTCGGCTGTAAGCAAAGTCACAAATTCATGTTCAGGTCGTCTATGGATCTAAGGGATAAAGTCCACCTGGGGCATTGTGGAGCCCTTTTGTGAAAGATCTGGTGGCAAATGGGTGTCCAGGCCATCTTGAGAGAGACTGGTGGACACGTGGCATTGTAGCCGCTATGCCAGGGACATTCAAGGTTGGGCATCTTCAGTGTAAAGACAGAGACCCTGATGGCCCCCAGACAGTTCATATTTGGAGGAAGCCAAGATCCAGACGGGTTGAGTAACTTGGCCAAGGTCACTTAGTTTACGTGTTCGGAGAAAAGGAATTCCTAAAACTCGCGTGTTGTTTGTCTAACTCATTCGCAGAGGCTATCACGTCTAAACAGACACCACGAGCTGACACGGATGTCAAAAGTCTTTGGAGGATTTTTTAGGATTTAGAAGGGCAGTTTCCTCTTACAGAGGTCTGCCTTGGGTGCGCTTTAAGTGTGGTATGCCGGGCTGATTGCTAGCAGGGGTGTTAATAAGGCCAATTGCGTTGACAACCTTTACTCTGGATTCTGAAGACTGGAAGGACCTTTGGCTCGCCTGAAGTGGGCTGGCCTTGAGAGAATGATAGCTGCACGCAAGACAGCTCTCTTTGCTTGGAGCTCTCTGACCCACAGACAAGTGAGAATCCATCTACCCCTGTAAAAAAATCAGGTCCTGCCGCATGTGTGCAGTACTGTTTAAAAGTTGGTGGGGAGCGTACTTGTTTTTGAGCAAGTTGTTTTGTTTAATTAGTGGCTGTGGGACAGTGCCTGCTAAGCACGTGATGGTTCCAAATGGTTAACGACCTTAATCTCCACGTCTCTAAACTCATCACAGCTCTATAGGTGTGTAAACCGAGATTTAGAGTTTAAACAACACACCAAGAGCCACCCCCTGCCCCCTGTAGATGAGGGAGCCTGCTTGCAGCGGCAGAGAACTCCACGGAGGGTCTTCCCCATCTAACCAACCTTACCAAAACATTGCAAGGGAGAAACCACAGCCAACTGTCAGTCTTCCAGTGATTTCTCCTGCTTCAACTCAAATTCCTGCATAAACCAAAGACTGGACGGTTGCCAACAAGGGAAGGAAATTATATACGGTATCCATCCCTCATTAATTTCTCTTCCTTGCAGTTCCCCAAAGTGGCTGGGACCCACTAGAGCCTGAGGCCACACACGCCCAGCTGCCTTTCCTGCCTTCCTGATTCTTGGCCAAGTCAAGAGCCGGTTCACAAGTGTCATTCACACACCAGGTGGGCAACTGAATCCTTTTTCATGTGGTGACCAGAGCTGTGTTATCATCACAACTGGTTCTCTTTTCCTCTCTTCTCCTCTCTTCATCTCTCCTCCCCTCCCCTCCCTCCCTCCTTCCCTCCCTCCCTCCCTTCCTCCCCTCCGCTCCCTTCTCCCCCCTTCTCCCAGCTTCTCTCTCAATAGAATCTCTTGCTATATAGCTTGAGCTGGCCTTTAACTTAGGATCTTACTGCCTCAGCCTCTTGGTTCCTGGGATTAGAGATGGGCACCACTATACCCATCATTCAAGGGCTGATATTTAAGGACAAGCTGCTCCTGTCTCTTGTCCAGCAGATGTTATAGGTGCTAAATGTTGGATAATAATAAGCTTTAGCTTATTTTGTCAAAGGTGGGGATGGGACTGGATGAGTGGGGTTGAATGGCTGGCTACTCTGGGGTGGGACCCTCGCTTTTAATGACTTTGGCAATGAAGAGGCTCCTTGTCATCAGAAAGAAAAACTTCAGTTTCCCCATTCTCTTTCTGTTCCAGTTGACAACCAAGCTTCAGAGGTTTTCTCAAGCAGTCGCTGCCCTTTCCTGGGGCCGACAGAAAGTAACATCTATAATTGATGTCCAAGATTCTGAGAACATAAACCCTGGTTGCTGTCTTCCCGTGAGATGGAGCCTGCTGCCGCAGCTCATTGAGGGTTCTTTCCCTTAGCATCCTGGGCTGGGAAGTAGGACTTCAGACAGAGAAGATGCTGAGCTCTATCAAATGCGTGTTGGTAGGGGACAGTGCCGTGGGGAAGACCTCGCTACTGGTACGCTTCACCTCCGAGACCTTCCCAGAGGCTTACAAGCCCACGGTGTATGAGAATACTGGCGTGGACGTCTTCATGGACGGCATCCAGATCAGCCTGGGCCTCTGGGACACTGCGGGCAACGATGCCTTCAGAAGCATCCGCCCCCTGTCCTACCAGCAGGCAGATGTGGTACTGATGTGTTACTCCGTGGCCAATCACAGCTCATTCCTGAATCTGAAGAACAAATGGATTAGTGAGATCAGGAGCAATCTACCCTGCACCCCAGTGTTGGTTGTGGCCACACAGACTGACCAGAGAGAGTCAGGACCCCACAGGGCCTCCTGCATCAATGCCATAGAAGGGAAGAGACTTGCCCAGGATGTGCGAGCCAAGGGCTACCTGGAGTGCTCAGCCCTTAGCAACCGAGGAGTACAGCAGGTATTTGAATGTGCCGTCCGGACGGCTGTCAACCAGGCCAGGAGACGAAACAGAAGGAAGTTCTTCTCCATCAATGAGTGCAAGATCTTCTAAACCCCAAGGTCCTGCGCCCAATATTCCCGAACATACCTCAGAGACTAATGGGAGAGTGGAAGGAGGCAAGCAAGGGGCTAATGCTCTTTCTTGGCACATTTGAACAGCCTTTCTTTCTGGATGGAGTTACTGGGGAGGTCGGACACTGCTGCCTCCACTAACTGTGCTCTACAGATACATTCTTTGCCCAGCACAGCCAGAGAGATTCCTTGGAAAGCCATATAAATAGTCCATCTTCAATGAAAAACTAAAACAACCATCCTAACTTAGACAATGGAGTGAATTTCCCAAGTATGCCATATTTAAACTCACATTTTATTTAAATAATAATCAACTCTACAGCTTTTGTTTTCATGCTTGGGAAGTCTTTGAAAAGGCAAGCTGCTGTATGAGGGGAATAACTTTGTGGGGCTCAACCATATGTCTGTAATGCTACGATTTTCTCCTGAATCTAATTTGGTTGAAACGACTTGCGTGCTGTGTTTCTCTGGATAACCACACTTTCAAATGACCATAAACGTGTCCCTGCAACTCGTTTTTCATTTCCCTATTACTCAGAGTTGTGTATAAAATACAGCTCCAGGCTGTAAGGTATTTTAACACCGCCAAATGAAATTGAACAGTTACTAGGTTTTCTATGTAAATACAAAAAAAATTTCTTATTTACGATATTACCTGTCACTCAGAGAGCTCCAATAACACACAAAGTATTTCTTTCTCACTCAGTAAGACAGAGAAGAAAGGCAGAAACATTTCTGCCAGAGAGTCACACTGTGCAAAGAAACATCAGCGGAGCTTGGGGACCCATCTCCTTGCCTGCATCTCTTGATGGGGGCTTTGTGATTGGTTACAGGTCTTGGAAGAAGAGGACAGGCAGATGTTCTGAACGATAATTAATCTGACAATGTTGTTCTCATTTGAATTCTAAACTAGGCATGACCTCATCATTTATTAATTCTAGGACTGAATTAAGATAATTAAAAAGCCAAATATGTATGCATGTATGTGTACATAGATACAAGGGGAAAGGCAGGATTTATAGCTTTTACTGTTTCATGAATAGATAATCACTTTGAAAAACATCACAAGTCCCAAGTTTAGATAATGAAAAAACCTGTAGTAATTACTCAAATAGCAAAGGGTTACCAGTGAAATACTAAACAAATAGGACCATGCGCAGCCACACAACCCTCCATTCTAATTGTCTGAAAGCTTGTATCTCCCGCCTCTTCTACTCCCAGATTGTCACTTACCATCCCAGGCTAATAGCTAGGACCCACTTGAGCCATCTTTCTTGGAGCCCAGAACTGTTAAGGGATTGTGTGGTTGTCACCACAAAGGAGCATCCCTACTGAGGATTATGCTGGTATAAGCAGATCAGTTTATCGCGTTGGTTCTCTTCCTGGTTCTTTGTGGTTACAATCCGGTAAACATATCATCTAAAGATCCCCACGCTGCCTTCTCCTCTGCCTCTCTCTTCCACACCCAGTCAGAAGCCTGGGACCTGGGTCTTGGGTAGAGGAGTTACCCCCATAGCATAGGACTGGTAGGTTTGCTTTCAGCTACTCTCTCAGCCCTCTGGTTCTGGGGTTTGTCCTTGCCTCTGGGCCGCCTGCCTCTCTTGACTTGAGAGTGCTTGTCTTTAGTTCATTGTCCCATCGGCATGAAGGTTGGAACGCTGAAGAACTGTCCAGGCAGGGGAGGAGACAGAGGCTATATCCTCCATGTCCCTTATGCCCTTCTGATTTTCTTCTTCAACACACAGAGGTTTTTGTATTGATTTATCTTTTGGCGTGTGTGTTTGGGGAATTGAAACTTTTTGTTTTGTTCTCACGCTGTAGCCCAGGATGGCTTCAAGCTTGCAGCGATCCTCCTGTCCCAGCCTCTCCAATGCTGTGATGATAGGTGTGAGCCGCCATGCCTGGCTTACCAAAGGTCTTTAACAACAAGCACAGTTTCGAGATTAATCTTTGCAATATTTTAAAACACACTGAAGAAACGAATTGCCACACACTAAATTAGCTGTTCCCTAATATTTTTCTTTCTTTCTATCGAAAAGGGTGGGGCTTGGGGAGCATCTAAAAGTGGGAAAGATTGAGGGAGGAAGAGAAAGGGTGGCCAGGGAGGATGCTAATGACATTACTGGAGTAAGGACACAGAGTGACAGGGAGGTCTGCTCTCACACTGGACGGCAGGAATTTATGTGTGAAGCCTTCCCGGCAGGCAGCTGGTCCGAACTTAGCCAGTCAGGGGTGGTCTTCCCTGCTAAGCTCTGTGTCCCCAAGGCAGGGCTACCTCCTAATTAGCTCTGTGTCCCCAGGGCCTAGCACAGGGAAGGAACTATGAGGTTGTGTCAAATTTGGCTGGAGAGAGAAAGGCCGAAACTGGGCCTCAAAGCAGTTAGGAGAGGGAAGCAGACCCGAGTAGGCATGGAAGAGATAAGGAGGACTTTGTGGAAGAAAGGGCGTACTTCACAGGACTGTATGTTCAGTTTTACACGTCTACATGAAGACATGTGATTCTTCCCCGTCAATACTTATGGTGCTTTTGTTTGTATGTTTCTCCTTTATTATTTCAAGTGACAAGATTAAATACGTTCATGTTTACATGAAAAAGTGGATTTAAATGGTCAATTTATTTGTTCTTCTTTAGTCACTACAACAGAACATGGCGTGACCTCAGCACAGTTCTGGAGGCTGGGAATTCTGGGGTCAGGGGCCAGCACAGTCAGGCTCTACAGAGGGACCTCTTCCTCATCTAGTTGATGTCTTTTTGCCCTGTCCCTATGTGGAGCGGAGGATGAATTCTCATAAGAGCTCTCATCCCATCTGTGAAGGCTCCACCTTTCTGACACATTCTCTCTCAACGCCATCAAGACCATCAGACTTCAGGGGAGCAGTGTGAGGGGAAGGGACACACACATCCAGCATAGCAATGCTGTTTTGCCTTGGTTTATTCATCCTAGCTGAATGGGGCGACACAGTAGTCAACTCTGATACAACAAAGCCAGGGACAAGACAACCGAAACCATCTTGATAGCTAAAGTACGTTAAGTGGTACGGATACCTGGGCGCTGGGCTAAGCTCCTGTATGCCATTATCATGATACGTGGTCTATAAGTGGTTCACATGAGTGAACCGAGTCTCAGCATGTTAACGGGACAAGCCTGAGCTATACAGCAGGTGAGATGCAGAACTATGAGTCTGGGACAGGCTTGCGTGGCTCCAAACTCTACACAAAACCACCCTGCCCCACTTCCTCCCTGAGCAGTTAGCTGAATGGCTTTGCCACATCCGATCTCCTGTAGCTGCAGGCCTCACCCGCTACTTCTCTAAGGGCCTGTATGGAGGAGAATGAGTTGTTCATTTGTTGTTGTTTTGAGACAGGATCTGACTCTGTAGCTCAGGCTGACCCCAAATGCATGGTAATCTTTTTGCCTTAAATTCCATAGTGCTGGGATTACAGGCGTCCATCACCATACCCAACTGAAAAGATTTTATACATATATATATATATATATACACACATATATTGCAGTACTGGGAATCAAAATCAAGGCCTCATGAATACCAGGCAAGCACTCTACCCTAAGCTACTCCCCCAGCCCTAAAAGATGGTTCTTAAAAGATGGTTCCATGTCCACTCTCCATCTTCCCCTTTTTGTCTTTCTTCCTGGTGATGAGGCTAGACCCCAGGAAATACCCAGTTCACCTATGGCAAAGATCCCCACTTCTACTGTGCCTCTCAGTGTCATTTCCTAGACTGATTGACAGACATGAAACACAACATGACTTCCTGCTCTCAGCAGCTTGCACAATCCTTTATTTCCTCATCTTGTCTCTCTCCTCAGGTCTCACATATCCACTGAATGAGCACTAGGGAGGAAAGAGCTGCCCCGTTCTTTCCTTCTGAGGGTGTAAAGTCAGGAAGGGCACTTGACCCAGGAGATGTGGTGCGAGGGTTCCAGCTTGGAACCTGTAGTGCTAAGAAGTGACAGAGGGAAGAGGTCTCTGTTAGTGTTGGTCCCCAGGATTAGAAGGCAGTCCTTAGGGGTTGAGTGACTTCAGCATAAGTCCACGGCGGAGACTTGGATGTCCTCAGACTGTGTCTTTTTTGATAAGGCAAAGACATACAATCTCTGGCCAAGACCTCAAGCAGCTTTGCGTGAGATAAAACAAGCCAGGGAAGCTGCTTGTGATGTGAGCTCCTGAAGGCACTTGACTAGCCCTAACGTCTCAATTAACTCTGAGGACTCTAAAAGTTACCATGAAACTTAATGTTATGTTAAAAACCATAAATGATGAAAAAATAAGGAGTCAGACTGTGAGACGTTTTTGAGTCAGAAAATCTGAGTTCTGTATCTTCTAGTCTCAGAGTCTTTTTCTTAAAACATAGGTACTAATTTCTAGTTCTGTAGAGGATTTGTGTAATGATTATGGGAGAACTTTATGCCTGCAAACCTGTGGTCAGACATCACGTTACCACATGGCTGCTGGATCCCTGTGCTGCAGCATAAACTGAATCTCTATATCAGATCAGAATTTTCTAGGGGTTTCATCCTGTGGGCAACACGACGGGAAACCCACACCGAAGCAGATTCTGTCAACTGAAGCAAAACGAAGAAAATGACAGATAGAATAATAAAAACATCAATACATTACATCTGAGTGCTTGCTGGTTCCAGGCCTGTGTAAGGTACTTTACAGAACACACATACACACATGCACACAGGTGCGCGCACACACACACACACATACACACACACAGACACATTCGCACTCACAGGGCAGGCACTTGCAGAGATAGAGATGTACACACACAGACACACACACACACACACTCACAGAGACAGACACACACATGTGCATGTATGTGCGGAGGAACTCTTTGATTGAGGCCCAGACATAGAGATTTTTATTTTACACTCACTTTTTAAAAGGTCCCAGCTTACCTAATTTCATATACATAAACTTGGTGTGTTAAGTCCTATGACTATGATGGCCAGTGGTCATGACAGTTGGCAGTTTGGAGCTCCCTGCCACACATGCAGGGCACGCTGATGAGTGACCTGCCTTCTGTCACTCTTTCTGTAATATTCTCAGGTGACCATACACGGCCTGACTGATCTCTGTTTGCTGTCCCTGGATCTCCATTTCCCTCTGTTGTTGCCTTCCAGGCTAGTCCATGGATCCAGCATCCCAGGTCTCTTCCTAGATGCTTCTGCTCTATCAGGAAGTCAGAAGGCAGGCGGTGTGGGCAGGGTGGAGGGGGGACTCTCTCCTTTCACTCGTCCTGATTTGGTGCCGCTTATTTGCAATGGCCAAGTCCCCCACCCCAGGGTTGGGGCTCCAGCTTCCTCTGGGCTCCGAGCTTTCCTCTCTTGGCCCCTTAGCCCTAAAGGAAGCTATAAGTCCCTGCTGGGACAACATCCCAATGGGGTCTCTTTATCAGGGTCTCTCAAACAATGCTTTCATTCAGGTCTCTTCATTTGAACCACCTGTAATGAATTTGGCTTCTGCTGGACTCTGGGCAACAGACTCACTAAATAATAACTTACCCGTTTGTCCTGGTTTTGTTGTTCAACTCCCCACTGAAAGGTGAGGGTGAGCAGCGTGGGTAGCTAACTCCCCTTCCCTGAGCTACAAGATAAAAACTAAAACCATTCTCCTCATCTAACTGCTTGGACTAGAAAGGAGGAGCTGATTAATTGTTATGACAGCTCTGGGATGGTAATGTCAAAAATTAGATTATATGTAAGGAGTATTTCTCTGTCCTGCCAGCCAGCTCCCAAGTAATGACACGGAGCCTTATTAATTATGAAACCTCAACCTATAGCTTAGGCTTGTTATTAACTTGCACTTACAACTTAAATCAACCCATTTCTATTTAATCGACATTTTGCCGTTTGGTTTTCTAACCTTTCTTTTAATCTGTATGCCTGACTCCCTCCATGTCTTGTTGGTGTCTCCTCTGTGCCTTGATTATTTTCTCCTACTTCCTCTCTCTGCCTGGAAGTCCCACCTATATTTTCTGCCTAGCTATTGGCTGTTCAGCTTTTTATTGCACGGACCGATCACAGCAATATATTTTCACACAGTATACAAATATCCCACAACAGTTATGAGTACTCCAATGACTCAATTATACTGAAGAAATTGTCAGTCTCCATCATGTATCAAGAATGACCAGCAGTCAACAAGCAAAGCATCTCAATCTAAAGACAGATATTTGCGCCTAACACCATGGTGCATACCCGAGATCCTAATACTAGGAAAGCTGAGGCAGAAGAGTCAAAAGTCTGAGGTGAGACTGGACAATACATCAAGACCCTGTCTGAGAAAAAGGAGGCTATTTCTTAGCATAGAAACAACATAGGACCAATGAGCAAGAGAAAAAAAACAGGCTTAACTATATACATACTCATGCACATGTTGGCAATCAGGTACCATTAGAGAGGTACCTTTTAAACCACCATATCAGCAAAAGCATTTAAAAGTATGATAGCACCAAGCATTGACAAGGATGTGGGACAGTGGGAGCTCCTGCATGCTGCTGATGGAGTGTAAGCTGGTACAGCCTTCTGTCTTTACTTAGCACAGCTGAGTATGTCATATTAGTGACCCCCACAGAGAAACATCCATACCCAGATGTACCCTTCCATCGATTGCCAGGAAGAAGTGAATAAGAGTGTGCTTAGTAGCATGGTAGCTAATGGCAAAAGTTAGAAACCACATGATGTCACAGTCAGACAAGGGCCAGTTGACTTTTGATGTATTCACACATGGACCACAACGCAGCACTGAAAACACATGACCTATAGCTGTGTCTACCAGCAGGCATGAGGGTAGACACATGTGAAGGAGAAAAATGCAAATAGAAAAATAACATGTCGAATTATTCCATTTATATGGTGTTCTAGCATGCATAAAACTTAACACCGAGGGTTAAAAGTGTTTTAAAGCATAGCATTCAAGTAAGTGGCTACCTCTTACCTGAAAACAGACTGTGAAAGGCCAAGGCCAAGGCCAAGGCCACTAGAGGTGTGACACATCCCTGGGAACAAAGATCTGTATTTTGGTCAAGCCATCTTAGTCATAAATCAAGTAAGCTATTCACCTCTCTAGGGCAAGTTCCGGGCCCAGGAAATAACCCAGTAAATTCTTATCTCTCCCTGTGAGTTAAGAGTGCCTACAGGCCTGCAGACCTGTGGGCTCTAGAAGTAATTAGCATTCCCCCTCTTAAACATTTACAGACCCTTGTCATTTTCTTATCTCTTCCTATCAGCTAGGGAGTCTCCAGACCTGACATTCCAGCATCCTACCTGCCCCCCTGCCTTTTTGCTATATAATGTTCCTGAGAAAAAAATAAAGTTGGCAGCTTGATCAGAGTACAGACTTGCTGCCCATTTCTCGTGTCTCGTGTCTCTTTTATTCCTCCCCTTCAAGGTTCGTGCTGTGCTCTTGATTCATATCCCACTGGTCAGGACAACACATACTGGCCACCTTTATTTATGACAGGGTTTCTCTGTGTAACCCTGGCTGTTCTGGGACTCGCTCTGTAGACTAGGCTGGCCTCAAACTCAGAGATCCTCCTGCCTCTGTCTCCCTAGTGCAGGATT